TCCTTCACTCAGATCTTTTGCTCTTCCTTTCCATTAGACACTTAACTAGCTTTCAGTTAGAAAAAGATGGATGAAATCCAGCAATGACATTGCTAGAAACATGAAGCCTTTTTTTTTTTTTAACTATAAGCTGAACAAGTTTTTCCCTGAGGGCAAATGCTAAAAAAAAAAAAAGAAGAAGACATGGGGGTGAATCTCTTATTTTCCTGAGATGGAGCACTGATGTTCCTTTCCTCTTGCATTTGTTACTTTCTCTGAAAGTGGTGTCTGAGTCAGTCTTCTGGTGCTTACTCCTATCTCTGCCTCACTTTACCCCGGTGGAGAATCGGCTTCGATTGTGTCTCTAATGATTTCCAACTGGAAAGTGGTACCCGGTGAGCCAGGTGACAGATCATTTTATCCATCCATCCCTCCATTGATTCATGGACTCGTTAAGGGTTTACTGAGCAGCACCAAGGTTCGCTCACTCCACAAGTGTTTACTGAGCACCAGCGTTCTTCTTGGTGCTTATCATGTCTCTGTGAACAAAATAAATAAATAAATAAATAAGAGAGACAAAAATCTCTGTCTCTGTGGAACTTACATGCTAGTGACCAAAATATGCATGAAAAATTAGTAAATTACATAATAGATCAGAGGGGATCAGGTCCATGAGGCAGAAAAACACCAGCAGATCGGGAGGTGGGATGGGGTGGAACGCAGGCTGCCATTTTTCTTCTTATTGTGGTAGAATATACATAACAAAAATTTACCATTTAATCATTTTTTTAAGTTTATTTATGCACTTATTTATTTTATTTTAAGTAATCTCTACCCCCACCGTGGGCCTCGAACTCACAACCCCGAGGTCAAGAGTCACATGCTCTTCCGACGGAGCCAGCCAGGTGCCCTTCATTTTGACCATTTTGAAGTGTCCAGTTCAGTAGCGGCATTAAGTATAGTCACATTGTTGTGTAGCCGTCCCCACCATGAATCTCCAGAACTTGGTCATCTTCAAGACTTGAAACTCTGTCCCCATTAAACACTAATGTCCCCCTTCATGCTCCCCCCAGGGCCTGGCAGCCACCATTCTACTTTCTGCCTGTATCACTGGGACTCCACTATGGACTTCATGTAAGGAGAATCATACGGTAATTGTTCTTCTGTTGCTGGCTTATTTCACTCAGCATGGTGTCCTCAAAATTCATCCATATTATGGCGTGTGTCCGAATTTCATTCCTTTTTAAGGCTGAACAATATTCTGTTGTATGTATACACCACATTTTGTTTATCCATTCATCAGCCAATGGGCATTTGGGTCGCTTCCACCTTTTGGCTCTTCTGAATGATGTTGCTATGAACACGGGTGTGCAAATATATCCATTTGAGTTCCTGCTTTCAATTCTCTTGGGTATATACCCAGAAGTAGAAGTGGATCACTTGGTAATTCTATACTTGAGTTTTGATTCCTCAAAACTTTGCCATGCTGTTTCCCCAACAACTGCACCTTTCCACACCTTCCATCAGGAATATATGAGGATTCCAGTGGTTCCAGATGTTTACCAACACATGTTGTTTTCTGTTGTTGTTGGTGGTGTGTGTGTGTGTGTGTGTATTTTGGTAGCCATTTTAATGGGTGTGAAATGGTATCTCATTGTGGTGCTGATTTGCATTTTTAAATTGTTTTTTAATGTTTATTTTTTTTAAACTTTTTATCTCGATTAGAGTCAATTTCGATGTTTTATTTCTAGGAGAGAGAGAGAGAGAGAGAGATATCCTGAGTGGGGGAGCGGGAGCAGAGAGAGAAGGAGACACAGAATCAGAAGCAGGCTCCAGGCTCTGAGCTGTCAACCCAGAGCCTGACTCTGGGCTCGAACTCACAAACTGTGAGATCATGACCTGTGCTGAAGTTGGACACTCAACCTCCTGAGTCACCCAGGTGCCCCTGATTTTCATTTTTCTAGTGATTAGTGATATCGAGTGCCTTTTCCCATGCATATTGTAGATCTTCTTTGGAGAAATATCTATTCAAGTTCTTTGCCCGTTTTTAAATTGGCAAATTAAATTTGTTGTTGAGTTTTAGAAGTTCTTCGTGTATTGTGGATATTGACTCCATATCATATATATAATTTGCAAATGTTTTTCTCGTATTCTGTGGGAGGGTGTTGTTTTAAATGGGCTTCATAGAGAAGGCATCATTTGGGCAAAGACTTGAAGGAGGTGTTGTTCAAAGGAAAGGAAATGACAGAATCTGAGAAACGCAGACTGGGGGATTGAAAAGAACTGTAAACATTCTTAAATGATTATAGGGTTTGCCACTGCCTTAGGGATTCAGAATCAGAGATGTAGAGGGGGCGGTGTGTGTGTGTGTGTGTGTGTGTGTGTGTGTGTGTGTGAGTGATTGCAAGAATGGTGATTTTCCTTCCCTTGCTTCATTTGTTCACAGAAGGCCCTCCTTGAGAGTGACATTCCAGGCTCTCATGTGACTGCTTGGCCCAAAGTCTCCTTAGGCTGGACTGTCCCTAGGTCTAGAGTGGCAAAGTGTTAGCAAATCCTTTTGGCCAGAAGTATAAAGCCATCCGTTTCATCGGTCGTAAAGATGACCTTCTGCTCTCCATCTCTCTGTGTCCCGCATCTTCTCCACTGATTCTACCGTCAGGAGAAGAAAGGGGTTATTATTTATTGATCACCCCCACCCCCCCCCCCCCCCCCCCCCCCCCCCCCCCCCCCCCCCCCCCCCCCAGCCAAGACCTCAGCAGCTGGTCTCAGTCATGAATGGAAACTAGGTAAAGTATGATCTTCCATCCCTTCCCTGTGCTGCCCACCTCCCTTTGGGTTTTTCTCATATGCCTCATCCCACGGATCCCTAAACAGACCAGAATCCAGCTCTACTGTCTGTTGGTCACAGAGAAATGGAAGCACATTCCACTTTCTCCACTCGCCTAAGACAGGCCGGGCATTGTGCCTGCTGGTTCGCATGACCTTATTCCGATCCTCATAATAAGTACATTTCATTATCCCCACATGAGGAAGCTCAAGTTCAGAGGTAAGGATACCTGCTCAGTGCCACAGATGTGCCTCCTTCCAAAACATAGCCCCCTCCCATTACACCCAAAGGAGTTTCAGGGTTCTGAAAAGGTGCCTTAAGAAAGACAAGGAGGGGGAGGCTGACGTTTCGGGGTTCAAAGCCCACCTCATCACTTCAGCCTGAGCCACGGACCTTTTTGATCTGTTTTGTATGACTTACTGTCTCATTTGCAGAAACAGTTAATATTCCCTCATTTGAACGTTTTTATGCCACCAAAGGAAGCTCACCATCCAGTTCTTTATTCCTGACCAAGTATTAAATCAATGGTAGAGTTTTGTACTCAGCAGCATCTTGGGGTCAGGAATAGGTTATCAGCATTACACATGAACATTTATTTGCAAACATGCTTTTATGTTTAAATGAAACAAAACATGAAGGTGTGAACAGCAGGTGTGACACTATGCCACAGACTCCTTTCCTATCTCAGCTCTCACTGTGGCCCAGAACCTTCCTTCTTGTCTCTCCTCATCGAAGCTCTTTGGCATGTGGCCCAGACCCTCACAGCCAAGGCTTGTGCTCCAGTCTCCTGTCCCGGTAGCATATGTATGGGGATGTCTCACTGACTGTGACATCATAGATTCACAGAGACCAGAACATTTTGTTCATTTCCCCCACCTTGTTTGGAAGGACATCCCAAGATGTGAGTGAGTTTTGTGGAAGGCAGCACCATCCCCCCTGCCCATCCTGTAGAAGCTGACAAAGATGGCGTTCTCCGCCCTAGGGCTATTAGGTGAGGGCAAGAGGTCTGGGCTGGAAAGATCGAATACCCCCAGGATCTTGCATGGATAGGGAAGGATACAGAGGTGCAGAGATAGGCGGTAATGTTCACATTGGTTGCAGTAGACTCCAAAGCCCACAAGTGAATATGTACACAGTGAAGCCTGTGCCTGATGGCCCAGCAGCTCGGCTGGAACTGAGCTGTGTAAGAGAAAGGAAAGCACGTGTCCACCAAAGTTTTCATAGCAGTATTGTTCATCATAACCAAAACCTAGGAATAATCCAAGTGCCCATAAAAAATAGAATGAATGAAACGTTTTGGTAAAAGTATACAAGAGAGTGTGATACTGCAATGAAAACAAAGAAACTATGAACTATTGTTACGGGGAACTACATGGATACAGCTCACAGATATATTAGAGAGAGAGAGAGAGAGAGAGAGAGAGAGAGATGTTGGCAGTCCTGGTGGCTGCACTTGAACCAGACAATTATGACAGGCTCTTGGAGATGTTCTCAGCTGCCCAGATTCCCATGGTTCTGATGTTGGAGCCACGCCCCACCCCCAAAGCCTGCATGTTGATCCTTGAGCCACCTGCTATCCCACCAGTGAATTCCTTTTACATTCATGTTAGCAAGGTCACTCTTGCTTTGTTTGTAACCTAAGCCCTTTGCTAGCATGTTACCTAGGGCTGGAAAGTAGGAGCAAATAAAACATTAAATGTGATTGCACTTTGTCAACTGAAAAGAATCAAGATACACGAAAGGCGTTATTATTAATTTTAAAAAGGCAAAGGAAATGGGTGTGTGAAATGCTCAGATGGTTTGAAACATTGAAATCGTTTAAAACCATGCTTTACAAGCCTGCCTAATTGCAAAAAGCTATAAACTCTCTTGGGAAAACGACCATAAAAAAAGCATGACATTTCAAAATGTGATACAAGTCAGGACCAACTAGCTCGAGATGGTTATTGTAGCAGAATTGTTATTTTGGTTTAATGGGACACTTTAAAAATACAATTAGATCTTTAGGCTCTGGCAGAATAAAAACACATAATGAAATGAAAATAGCAGGTATATTGGAGGATAAGGTTACATAAGGAAATTATGTTGGTGAACTTTATTTGAATCAGGATGGTTCATAATTATATAATTAGATACTTCAATTTAAATGTGAAATGCAGTAAATTACTCAAGTAACAAAAAAAATCATCTCTCTCTCTCTCTCTCTGGTATTTCTCAATGGAATGTATTAACAATTAGAGTTTTTTCGAGTTGTGCAAGTTGATAGCCTGATGTCTGCAAACATTTCCTCTTAGTTTAGAAAATGACCATTCAGGGTATCAGCTCTTTTACAGCAGAACTTTCCATGAGGTCTGGGTTTCCCAGAGAGCTCATGTCCCATCACGGCCTTGGCTCTAGAGGTTCCTGAGTGGCCGCATCAACGGTGCATTGTGGGAACTGCTCATAGAGCTGTTGAGATGCATGGAAGGGTCTTTTTGGGGTAGACTGGCTTCCGTGTCAGAACTCAGACTGATGCTTTCTCTCTGGAATCAGAATGGCTCTTCTATTGCTTCCTTGTGCCATTTTGTTTAGCTGTTCCAGTTAGGATCCATCTTGGGCAGAGGTGGCTAATTCATTCACTGGAGATGAAACATTCAGGGGTAGTTTTACCAATCGCACCTATACGGCCTCATCTGAGACTCGCAACAGCCTTAGTGCTAGATATTGGTTGTTCAGCCCCTTTTTGCAAGGGAGAGATCTACAGGGGGATGGTCACGTGTCCAAGACCTAGAGGCTTGCAGCAAAAGCAGGGTTAGACTCAGGTTCAGGATCAACTAGATGATTTGCGGGGCTTAGTGCACAATGATGTGGGAACTCCGTTCAAAAATTATGAAGAAGGGACGCCTGGGTGGCTTAGTCGGTTAAGCGTCCGACTTTCGCTTAGGTCATGATCTCGCGGTTTGTGGGTTTAAGCCCCGCATCAGGCTCTGGGCTGACAGCCAGCTCAGAGCCTGGAGCCTGTTTCAGAGTCTGTGACTCCCTCTCTCTCTGACCCTCCCCTGCTCACGCTGTCTCTCTCTCTCTCTCTCTCTCTCCTAGAAATAAATAAAACATTTAAAAAATTTAAAAAAAAATTATGAAGAAACTTTCAGGTTCTGTGCTGACAGCTCAGAGCCTGGAGCCTGTTTCAGATTCTCTGTCTCCCTCTCTCTCTTGCCCCTCCCCTGTTTGTGCTCTGTCTCTTTCTGTCTCGAAAGTAAATAAACTATAAAATTTTTTTTTTTAAACTTATGAAGAAATTCAAGATGGTGACAGCTGAGTGTTAAACCAAAGGCAGGGCCCTGCTGAGCACCTGCATAGGTCACGTGACCATACAGCCCACCCTGCTCAGGTTAGGTGGATTCCAAACTCCAACTCTTTCAGGAATGGCAGTGGGATTTGGGAGGGGCACCTCTCCTCCTTGCCGGAGTTCCAGGCCAAAGAGAGAACCAGAACTATGAAGTCAATGGTGATACAAACACCAGCTTCATTTTGGATAAAGGCGAGGCTGGAGATTGTGGCAGGAGATTGTGGCACAGGGATGCAGCCAAAGTGGGTTGCCTACTTCTGGACCCAGAATGAGGGAGGTCTCCGCAATGGCTCTAGGAGAGGGAAGATCTCCCCCAGGAGAGACAGAGCCTTTACTGCTCACCTTCTGGTATGGCCAGCAGCAATACCAGAGAGAAGCCATTCTTCAAATGGCCAACACACACATCCCAGTCCTGTTCCCAAAACTCCCTAGTCAAGGGATGTCACTTCTCCCCTCTTAGGAAGGAGTGACTGAGGGGGCAGCAAGAGCCCAGGGGTGCCTGTTAAGTCTTTATCCCTGAGTGTAGCAGGCACTTCTAAAATGGCTCTCCAAGACCCTCAGCTGGAGTTTAACCCCTCACATGGGGTGGGGGGCTGGACCCAGTGACTGGTGTCTGATAGAAGTGATGAGATGTCATTTCCATGGTTGGGTTACAAATGATTGTGACTTCTGTTGTACTCCCTCCCCTTCTCACTTGATCACTCAACGAAACCGGCTACCATGTTATGAGCTGTTCATGGAGAGGCGATGTACCACTGGCAGCCTCACCCAATGGCCAGCAAGAAACTGAGTCTCTCATCCCAACAACCTCAGGGACTTGAAACCTGTCAACAACACATGAATGACTTTGGAAGTAGATCCTCCCTGGGTGAGGCTCGGACTGGTAGGATGTGTGGGTGAGTCATCTGAAAAATGGCTTCTCTCTTCTTCCTTGTGATCCATCTGTCTGTGGAGAGCCAGTTGACCCTCCTCAACAGAGGCTCTTCCTCCTTCTCCCTTCCTCCTCTTCCTTCTTATTTATGGTCTCATTGTGTTTCGTGTAGATCAGTGGTTTGCAATGTTTGTTTTTGAACTAAGGTGTACTGTCTGCAAAGAAAGTAATTCAGGGGTAGCTGCTCTTTGAAACTCAGGTCCCCTCTTCTCTTCCCCATAATGCCTCCTGGGGCACCTCCATGTATCACATAGACTCTGTAGAACATAGTTGGAAAAGCAGTGACCACGACTTGGTCAATAGTCTCATTATTGGCCTTTCTGATTAGACTCTTGTCCCTCAATTCCATATTTTCTCTTTCTGGGTAGTATGTTTCTGATAAAACAATTTGGTCCTTCTTAAAAACTGCCAAGATGTCCCTGTTGCTAATCTCCTTCGTATTTATAGTTAAGATGTTTCAGAGTCTAATCAAAACTGACCTGGCCACTCTGACCTGGGAAGAAGGGGAGGGAACCACGATGGATGTGGACACCTATTGAGATACTTGTGAAAACATCCAGGTACTTACCGAAGTCTTACACTAGCAGGTTATAGTGGTCCTCCTGATGTGGCTTGAAGTGCTGAGGTCCGGAGCCAACTGCCAAGAAAGAATTCTTGAGATATTTTCAGTGCAAAAAGGTGGTTTTATTAAAGCACAGGGGACAGGACTCAGGGGCAGAAATGGCTGCACTGGGATTATGAGGTGCAATTGATTTTACACTTTGGAGTCAGGGAGGTAAAGACAAAGGACATTTCCAGAAGGATTTTCATGTTAAAGAAGACTTACGGTATCCTGGAGGCTTAGCCATCGTCAAGCTAAGGTTGTTTTCCCTTCTACCAAACCATTAACTTTGAGATTGGGAATTCTTGGAAGAAAGTCATAGTCTGCCTGTCTCAAGTATTTGCCAATGGGCTGCAGGTAATAAGCAAATTAAATTTTATCTACATTTCCTTTTGCCTTTGTTCTCTGCATCACTAAGGAGGTCATGAGTGTGGGCCCTAATCCAATATGACCGTGTCCTAAAAAGAAGAGGAGATTAGGACACAGACACAGAGAGAAGGTCGTGTGAGGACACAGGGAGACGACGGCATCTACAAGCCAAGGAGGGAGCCCTCAGATGAAAGCAACTCTGCTGAAACCTTGACCTCAGACTTCCAGCTTCCAAAATTGTGAGGAAATACATGTCTGTTGCATAAGCCACTCAGTCTCGGCGGCCCAAGCAAACTCATACATCGCTGTCCACCCCAAAGAGCTGTTGTGGGGTTTAAAGGAGATAATGTGTGTCGGAGAACATTCACTCGTTCTGTCCACAAAAATTTAATGAGGGCGTACTATATATCACTGTATCTGATGCACAAAAATACAAACACATGTTGGTGAATATTACAATTATCAAGAAGAGACAAATTGGCAGGTGGATTTTGTCATATCTTTTTTAACGTAAATTTTTTAATGTTTATTCATTTTTGAGACAGACAGAGAGAGAGAGAGAGAGAGAGAGCAGGGAAGGGACAGAGAGAGGGGGAGACACAGAATCTGAAGCAGGTTCCAGACTCTGAGCTGTCAGCACAGAGCCCAGCATGGAGCTTGAACCCACGAACCGCAAGATCGTGACCTGAGCCAAAGTCGGACACTTAACTGACTGAGCCACCCAGGCGCCCCTCTTTTTTTTTTTCCCCCAAATGGCAATTGCAGTATCTCATCCTTGACCTGATTCATTAAGACGCAGGGAGATGATATGGTTTCATGCATAATTATAGGTGTCTCTTCTCTCTGTTACCTCATAGCCTTACTTCTCCCTCAAGAGGCCATAAATCTCACTCAGCATGAGGTCATCTGGCTGGAGTGAAGTCCCCAAAGATCTTTCTGGAAATCTGATGCTGAATAATTGATGACACAATTGCCAGCAAGGGCTCCATGATACAAGATCTTGTGCCTTCCAGTTTTCCAGTGTGAGTCACATGCTGGATGTCTTTACTCTGAGCTTGATGCCTGGGTCAGGCAGGGAGCTCCAACGCATTGGAGAAAGCGCCCTTTGTGGTAGCACTGGCCCCGGGTTGGAAGTTTCTCTGAGAACCCATCATCTGCCTGGGCCGTGTCACTCCATGACAGGTACACTGGGTCCCCTAGAGAGAGACATGGCCGCCTATTCTAATCAGTGAAAAAACAAAAAGACCCTCTAGGTCCCAACACTGATGCGTGTCCTTAGATGAGTCGTCCGAATTCAGTCTCTTACAAGTCAATTCAAACAAATCGAATTCAATGCCTGTGAGGTGCTGGACACAGTGGTGGCATTGGAGTATAAAAACGAATTAGACAGACTTTGCCCTTGAGGACCTGGCTGTCTAGTGGATGAGACACACACACACACACAAACCATGAGGATGCACCCTGACAAGAGTTATAAAAGAGGTAGACATAAAGTGTGGTGGGAAAACAAAAGAATTTTGTCGTGTGTGTGTGCGTGTGTGTGTGTGTGTGTATGTGTGTTGTAGGGTGCGTCTGTGAGTTAAAGCTATAGATATTGCCAAGACACCACCAATTGTAAGAGCTTCTCTGATTTACTAACAGCTTGTGGGTAAGCAATCAGAAATGCTGCCACATGAAATGGTTAACATTGATTATAAGATGCTGCTGAAATGTTAACACTGTGAAAATAACCCCGTTTGAATTCCTCTGCTGAAGCCAGGATTCCTGCACCCGGCAGGCACTCCAAACATCCGTTCTCCGCATGGGGTGAGCAGAATTCCCTTACGGGTCCAGTTTGGAGCTCAGAGAGATCCAAAGGCAGGAGGCATCTGCTGGGCAGGCACTGAGACACAACCAGCCAGGGCTGGAAGGAGACCGTGATGGAGAAGACAATGATCTCAGCCCTCCTTCCAGGAACACAGTGCATGGTTGTAAGAAGTACTTTGACAATGTACCTCTGCAGTGTGTCCTAGGCCGTTCAGGCTGCTACCTGCCCTCCAAGGAGGCCTTGACCGAGTCAGTTGGGGCTCGGGCTTGGCAAGGGTGGAGGCCAAACTGCCTTGGTAAATGGGGGACAGGTTGGACCAGCCACCAGCAGGCCTTCTTGCCAACCCACCCCTTTTCTTTAAATAGGTGCTGAATGAATCCTTAAAGGATATCCCTTTAAGGGACATGAGCTGATTTGCCTGCCCACAGGCCCTGCTCTCTCTATCCAGCTCTGGCTGAAAGGCAGCATTCCAAAGCAATGGCTGAAGCAGGCAGCTGGATGAAGTCTCAACCCAGAGGGTAGAAACTGAGGAAAAGTTGAGGCCAGTTGACAATGGAGGGGGAGGGGCCCTGGAGCTGTTCCCCAGGCTCCAGAGCCTGCAGCAGGCCTTACAGGGCACCCGCCAGCACATCCCTGCGCTTGGAAGAGGGAGCTGTTCAGGGTGCTGAGGTTATTAGACCCCATTCATCTTCCAGTATGTGGGCTTTGTGGCTCCCTAATCACCAGCTGGTAGACCATCTTTTCTTCTACCACCAAATACCTCTCCAAGTTACCACCTTCTCTCTCTCTCTCTCTCTCTCTCTGTGTGTGTGTGTGTGTGTGTGTGTGTGTGCACGCGCGCGCAGGCACTGGGAGTAAGGGGTGGAGAAGGAAGCAGAAAGCTCACCCTGGTTCCCAGCACCCTGGAGACTGCTCTGAGTGGCACTGAGGGTCTTGGTTAATGGAGAGAACTTGACCATTGTAGCCAAGAGCACGCAGTGTCCTGTGTCTGCATCTCCACTCTGGAGCTGACGCTATGGACCTTGGAGAAGTTGGTTAAGCCCTGCAATTTCAGCCTCCTAGTCTTAATATCTATCTGTCTTGTGGGGTTATTGAAAAAATTAAATGAGATCATGTATTGTAAAGGGTATGGCATTGTACCAGCATACAGTAAATGCTTAGTGAATAGTAGCTATCACTGCTGTCTTGTTATGATTGTATTAATATATTCATATTGTGACTCATTGTTGGCCTTTTGTCTCAAATCAAATTAAAAGAACTACCCTGAGAAACTAATAGGCTCAAGACTCCATGAATTTCCAAGCACGACAGTCTCTTCACTGAAACCTGAGGTAAAGGAAAAGGCTCAGGAGCCCCTGTTTTCTCATTGAAAGATCTTGGGAAATCCACTTGACTTCTCTGGGGTCAGTTTCCTATATAACAAATGGGGATGGAGGCTCTGAGCCCTGGGACTTTTGCTTAAAACAGAATAACTCACATCCCAGAGGGTTGGGAGTATATACTGTGACCCCTTTCTCAGGAAAAGGGATAGTTTGATGAGTGTACCTTATCACATAGGATTTCCACCTTTATTCTCCTGTCATGGTCTGTTCCCCCGTTCCTGTGACTCGTTGAGTAGGAGTAGGTCCCCTATAGCTATTCATGGAGTAGATAAATGAGAGCAAACTAGGCATCCATGTCCCCATCCATTCAATGTGGCCCAGACAACATTCCTCAGCATGCGGATGCTTCCTGCCTCTGGCACCCTGCATGCCCCCCCCCTCCCCCCAACCACTTCTCATGTTGAGTTTTTTCCCTTCCTGTGGAAACCAGGTTTTGCCAGCCTGGTTCCTCTAGACTTGGGGGAGGGTGCAAACATGGCAGAATGGGTAGAGAGAGGAGGAATCTCAAAGATATGGGCCGAAAAGGGGAACAGATTCTTGGCTTCAAGTGGAAAAGAAACACAAAGTAGGCAGAAGAGCTAAGCTGATGTATGTAATAAAGACTGGGAGGGAGGAGTGATGCGGGAGGAGGGGTGTGATGCGGGAAGATGGGGAACCAGCTGCTCGGGCTGGCGTTAGACATCGTGCTCGTGTGTGTGTGCGGTGGGGAGGAAGGAGAGGGGTTGGCAGTCAAGCTCCAAAGCAGTCCCAGTATGAGAAAATGGGGGGGGGGCGAGGAAAGGAGTTTGGGAAGAGTCCCTGTGAATTACACACTGCAGCCTTTCCATGGTCTTCAAGATACTGGGGCAAAGAACACAATTCCCTCTTCATCCTATTGATCGTGGGACCATAGTCCTTCCAGTTTAATGGCACCCAGAAACAAGCCACATGGACCTCAGGATTTGTTAGTCTCATATAAATAATGAGCACTCATCACATGCCAGGAATTGGGTGAGGATTCAGGGATGCAGGAAAAAAAATCATAAAACAGTCAAACCCTTGAGAAGCTCACAACCTAGAGGGAGCACTGGATTTTACATGCATGCATGCATGCATGCGCGTGCGCACGCACACACACACACACAGAGACACACAGACACACACACATACAGAGAGGTTCAAATGCTGTGGTGGAGAATTGCACCAAGTGCTATGTGGAGGGAGACAGCGCTAATCAAGGAGGGCTCCACAGAGGAGAAGGCATTTGAGCTGGGGCTTGACAGAAGTTTTCCACAGGGGGAAAGGGTCCAACTCTCTGTAGAGTTCATAACCTAAAACAAGATATAAATATGTATCTGTGTATATAAATGTTAATGTTCATATATAATACAGCATATGCTGCAATGAGCATATGAATAAGGTTATGTTGGGAACACAGAGGAAAGAGGGTCTGAATCTGCCTCTGAGAGTCAAGGAGAATTCACAGGGGGGATGATCCT